TATATATATATATATATATATATATATATAGAGAGAGAGAGAGAGAGAGAGAGAGAGAGAGAGAGGTTCACTACTGCGGGCCAGAACTCCAACAAACATCCCATGCGAGACAGACATTGGCCCGCAGTAGTGAACCTCATGCTGTTGAACAGGGAAAGACGCAGCAACAGAGAGCGGTTCACTACTGCGGGCCAGAACGACAACAAACAGCAGCGGTGGACACTGATATGGCACGCAGTAGTGAACCACAAGTAGTTGGAAACGCAAAGATGCAGCACCAGCGAGAGGTTCACTACTGCGGGCCAGAACTCCAACAAACATGTCATGCGAGACAAACATTGGCCCCCAGTAGTGAACCTTATGCTGTTGGTCAGGGAAAGACGTAGCGACAGATGACGGTTCACTACTGCGGGCCAGAACGACAACTAACAGCAGCGGTGGACACTGATATGACACGCAGTAGTGAACCACAAGTAGTTGGAAACGCAAAGACGCAGCACCAGCGAGAGGTTCACTATTGCGGGTCAGAACTCCAACAAACATGTCATGCGAGACAGACATTGGCCCGCAGTAGTGAACCTTATGCTGTTGGACAGGGAAAGACGCAGCGACAGATGGCGGTTCACTACTGCGGGCCAGAACGACAACAAACAGCAATGGTGGACACTGATATGGCACGCAGTAGTGAACTACAAATAGTTGGAAACACAAAGACGGAGTACCAGCGAGAGGTTCACTACTGCGGGCCAGAACTCCAACAAACATGTCATGCGAGACAGACATTGACCCGCAGTAGTGAACCTTATGCTGTTGGACAGGGAAAGACGCAGCGACAGATGGCGGTTCACTATTGCGGGCCAGACCGACAACAAACAGCAGCGGTGGACACTGATATGGCACGCAGTAGTGAACCACAAGTAGTTGGAAACGCAATGACGCAGCACCAGCGAGAGGTTCACTACGGCGGGCTAAAACTCCAACAAACATCTCATGCGAGACAGACATTGGCCCGCAGTAGTGAACCTTATGCTGTTGGACAGGGAAAGACGCAGCGACAGATGGCGGTTCACTACTACGGGCCAGAACGACAACAAACAGCAGCGGTGGACACTGATATGGCACGCAGTAATGAACCACAAGTATGTGAACATGGGAAAAGGCAACGAACATTATAGACAGAAAAGTGTGGACGCAGAAGTTGTAATACAGGCAGCAATAAACATACATAAAAGTGTGTGTGTGTGTGTGTATGTGTGTGTGTGTGTGTGTATGTGTGTGTGTGTGTGTGTGTGTGTGTGTGTGTGTGTGTGAGATAGA